ATATTATTAATTAAATGCTGTATACTATGCCACTCGATAGTTAAAGTGCTTAAAATGTGTAAATTGATTAAATAAAAATCTAGTTTCGAGAAAGTGTCTCAAACCCAATATCATTGCTGTCTCTCAAAAACTTTACACATTTTATCAATTGATTTGATAAGAAGTGATTTGTTCTCTCCTTTCACTTAAAACATTTTCTGATAAGTTATTGCTATATATAAATACAATACGATTTTTGTGAAACAAATTAATTTCTTTAGATCTCATTAAATATTTAGTTATATTTCAAATATAGTTATATTTGTAATTAAACTAAATATGTTGTGTCTGAAGAGTTTGTGCATTTCATTGCTGGTAATCCAGACATTAGTTGAGTCTAAATGGGTTAGTCCTGACAATAGTACCGATGGTTTAATAAATTCTCCATATCCTGATAACGAAGCCTATACTTTTGTATTGCTTGGCATTACCGTAAGTTTTAAATATACAAAATTTATCGCAAATTGCCATTTTATTAATTAATTTATATTTTTGAATAATAGGGTGATTTGTCTCAAAAGAAGTTAATGCCAACGCTTTTGTAAGTAAATTATCTCATATTTATTATAATATTCAGTTTTGCCTATTTTTACATATAATTTATCAGTTATTTAATATTAAATCTGATTTTAATGACACATTTAGTACACTATATAAGGAGGGATTATTGCCGAAGAACTTTCAGATCGCGGGTTTTGCGCACTCGAAGTCATCGGTTGAGGCCATTAGGAAACTGGTGGACCCGTATGTCGTCAACACCCTTAAGAATGAACACGAGAAGCAACTCTACGAACAGTTCTGGAAGATTGTGACCTATAATTCAGGCGACTCTCAAGCGGACAAAGACTACGCGCCGGTTGTGGACATCATTAACAAGTTTGAAGTGGGAAAGACAAAGGGACACCGATTGGTGTACTTCGCTCTCCCCCCGAGTCTGTTCGCCAAAACAGCCCTTGCAGTCAAACACACCATTTACTCTAAAACGTGAGTTAATTTATTCAAAATTTTAAAAGTTATTTCCTTTGAAAAATAAGATATTTTATTAAAATGACCAATTGGGATTTTAATTACCATAATGTTCATTTTGAACATGCAATATTCTTCATATTTACTTAACATGAATATCTATAGAGTATGATGTTATCAAGATATTTATTTTAATAATCTTATAGCGGTTGGACTCGACTCGTGATTGAGAAACCCTTTGGAAGGGATAGCGAGTCTTCAAAGGAGTTGTCCGACGCTTTGGCCCCAATTTTTACAGAGAAAGAAATCTATCGGATTGACCACTATTTGGGTAAAGAGATGGTACAGAATATTCTGGCCCTACGTTTTGGGAACCGTCAGTTGGAGCCGACCTGGAATAATGAACACATCGCTAACGTTGAGGTGCTCTTCAAAGAGCCGTTTGGCACTCAGGGAAGAGGCGATTACTTCGAACAGTACGCCATTATTCGAGATGTAGTACAAAACCATTTGCTTCAAGTGCTGGCACTCATAGCTATGGAGAGACCAGAATCTAATGACGCCGATAAGATTCGTAATGAGAAAGTGAGTTATATTAGATTTGAGACTATTTGATAGCATATAATCTTATATAATACTAATCAAATCAGTATATGTAATGCTTGAAAATTACTAATATATGTAATTTATTTATAGTTATATGTTTTGCAACATATGAAAGACTTAGCGATGGAGGACATAGTGTTGGGTCAATACGTGGCAAATCCTAAGGGTGTGGGCGAAGCGGCCACCAGTTATACCGATGATCCCAAAGTACCAAAGAACTCGACGGCTGCCACCTATTCTCTGGTCGCGCTTCACATCGATAACGACCGCTGGAGAGGAGTTCCCTTTTTTATCAGATCTGGTAAAGCGACTGATGAGAGCAGAGTTGAGGTTAGGGTTCAATACAAACCATTGGCTGAAGACCTGTTCAACGGTCAGGCGAAGCGGGATATGA